GGGGGCAGGGCGCCGGGGGGGAGGGCGGCCGGAGCGCCGGGGGGAGGGCGGCGAGCCCTGCTGTGGCCCTGCGCTCCCCGGCGGCCGGAGCGCCGCGCCGCCGCCCCCCTCCAGGTGCCGCCCCAAGCACCAGCTTGGGTGCCTGGTGCCTGGAGCCAGCCCTGCCAGTCTCCCTCCATCCCTGGTTGACAGCAGCCGTGATACCGAAGGGGCTGAGGGGAGGTGGCTTCCCAGAGATGAGCTCTGCACCTTGCATTGATCTGGCACAAGGTAGGTTTGAAGTGCCGGTGCCCCTTTCACAGTCCATACAATCAACAGCATTGTGCGTTCAGTGCCGCTCTAGACAGCTGCCATCATGGGCACGGGAAAGGGGGCACCCCAGCCAGCCATTCTCCGCCCCCCCCCCCCCCCCCCCCCGCAAGCCAGGGGGTCTGTCCCGCACCACGTCTGTAAGACTTGGGACAGCATCTGACCATCTGGAGAATGAAGCCAGCTAGAGCAGGCTGAGTGAGGCACAGTGTCCAGGAGGGCGGCTGGGACAGGAGGCTGACGGCCTGTACGAATCTAGGAAAAGTGCTGCCCGGACAGGTCCAGAGCCCTGTAGGTAGCTACAGAACAGGGGCAGCCTAGGCAACAGCTCCTCCCCTGCCAGCACACCCCTGCTTTCATCCGTCCCCTGAGGGTCAGCCCATGACCCTGTCAGTGGGGCTGGTTTGCTGTTGTCTCCCCGTCCATATTCCCCCGGGAGTCATGGATTATCTAGTTATCAGGGAATTGGGGCTTGGGAGTCTTTGCCCAGCAATTGACCCCAAAGCTCACTCAGCAAGTCTGGCTGGCTCTGTCCTTGTGCTCTGAATTCAGGAGTCAGTAAGCAATGCTTGTCCCCCCTGCAGCAGGTCAGAGGTTAGCGAGCCCAGGCAGACACAATCCGAACCTGGACAGCCAGGGTCCTACACCGAGGCTCACAAGCCATAACCGACCTTCAGAACCACCAGACGCTCCAAGCGGGTCCTGTCCCCGAGCTGTACTCCTGCGGCATGGCCCGGCCCCGCTCCCAGACAAGACGCAGGAGGGACGCAGCTTCTGGAGACAGGTGGGGAGGGAAGAACCGTACCAAGCAGTAGATCCTACATCCAGTTTTCTATTGCTTTGATCCCGCTGCCCCAGCTAAGATCCAGGTCCAGTTCAGTCCGGGGACCCCATTTGTTCCTGTGCGGGGGGAAGGAGGGGAGAGGCTCCAGCCTGGGAGAACTGGGACTCAAAATCCCCCAGAGGGTTGGAGATCCATGGTGAGCAGCTCCTTATTCCTGCATGGCCCCCGGTGTCCATAGCGCACCGCCTGCCCCCGCCAGAGACAGCGCAATGAGAAACTCAGGCCCAGTCCATCCAGCAAGAGAGACCCAATAAACACCAAGCAAACGGCCCTGGTTCTTCTGGGAGGAGGAGCAGCAGCTCGGGACGCTACTGAGCAAAGATGATGCTGGAGAGGGGTTTAGACCACTGGAGGACGTCTTGGTCGTAGGTGGCACGGGTTCCGTCCTTGGGACAGTGCGGGCAGCAGGTTGCTACATCAGGCATTGGCCTGGCAGGGCACCTCTGCCCCTCCACACTTGCTTCCTGCAGGGCTGAGCGGGAGGAGAAGCTATTGGAGAGCAGAGCAGGACCCTACACTGGGTTCAGACCCCGTCACAGGGGTCTCCCTACACCAAGAGGGGGATAGACCGACCCGGGGTTACGTTAGGAATGCAGCGTATGTTCATGGCTGGGCCACGCACAGCTTTGGTACGAATACAGTTAACCAGTGCAGCCCCCAGCGCCGACACAGTTTGACGGGATAGCTTAGATCCCAGCCTTAAGGGAAAGCAAGGGAGGAAAGAGAGATGAGGGAAGAGAAGGGAAAAGTGTCACAGTTTCTAACCATCGGCCAAGCCTCCCATGAGGAGCTGTGGGGACAAACAGCCTGACTAATTTGAAGACGGAGCTTGGTAAGTTTCTGAATGGGGCTGTATGATGGATTGCCAGCGACAGCAGGGGCCAGACGCGAGGACCTTCCTTGCCTGTGCCCATGGAGTATGGGATAGAGAGAAGGGGAAGGAGGAAAGAGGAGCGAGTGGAGATGGGGGGTCCTTGTTAGCCCCCAGGCTGCTGGAATCGCATTGACTGGGTAATCTCACTGGCTCTCACCCTCCAACACCTGGGTCCCCTGCCCTCTACATACTGCCCCTTATCAGGATCAGGGCTCTAGGCAGTATGCTCAGCCCCACAGCACTAATCCCCTCCCTCCCCATCTCCTCCATGAGAACTGAAACGCGGGACTGGCAGTGGCTTGTTTAAGCCCCAAACCATTAACAGAGCAGATGTGGAGCTTAACTGAGCTCCTCCTTCCCTGCCCTACAAACACCTGAGTTCAGGGCTCTGGAGCCTCCATTTCTAGAGCACCGTTCCCCTGGGATGGTCCTAAAGCAACCTACAAACTACACACCTGCAGCCCTCTCTGGGGTGGAACACGGCAGCTCTTTGACACAGCACAGCAACACTGCATAGCAGCTCAGGGCAAGAAACAAAGGAGGATCCTGTCTCTGATTGCAACCGCTAAGGACTTTAGGGAAGGGAAACCTGAGCTGGAATTTGGCCAGGACTCCAAGGCTAACCCCCTGATTGACAAACAAGCCACAAGATTGCAGTTTGTAGGGCCTGGACTTCAAGGCTCATCTGAAGGACACCTCTTTGACTACAAGCTCCCCCTAATGGCACCGTGGTCTCTGTATGGCCTCTAAAGGGAAGAACAGCTCCTATTGACCCTCCAACACCACTCCCATCCAAATACTGGCCAGGCCTGACTCTGATTAGCATGCAAGACCTGACCTGCTCCCAGCAGAGCAAGGTGCTTTGATTGCAGGCATTGCAAATGCTTTGAGCCGCACAGGAAAACACTCTGCTTTGGACACTGGCGTGTCAGCTACTGCAGAGGAAACATGGAATATTGAGCTCAAGCCTTGGCATGTCGAAGACAGGAGGAATCGCTTTCAAATAGCTCAGCTCTGTGCCTCCCAGTTCTTCCCAAATCTCAGCTGAAATCATCTTCTCTTCTCCCCTCCCCCTGAAATTCCCTCTGCTACAAGTTATTTGCCAGTTATAGCTACGGATCATGTTTTAAATACCTAGAGCTTTATAGAGCTGCCACTTCAGGTGTACACCGAAATAAATTATCTCATACAAGGGGAGACCCTCAGCTGACGTGACTCAGCATCGCTCCACTGGAGCGATGCTGATTTACGCCAGCTAAATGTCTCCCTGCAAAATGCTCTGTACACAACGTGCTACACACGGTAAACACGGTTTTGAGCTGAACACAAACGCACTGGGGATTTTTAATTCTGTGCCTGTTTTCTGCCAGTGATTAGGGAGCTCAGGGAGGTTTTGAAATTTGTTTGTCTACAGCTATTGAGGGCTTCAGCTGCAAGGCCAAACTGTAAAAGGGGCATTGTCCCATTGTCAGCCACAAATGAAAATGTCCTTCCCTGCATTGTAAGAAGACTGGGGGTTATTAAACACAAAGGAGAGGTCCTTTACTTTTCACCTTTCATGCCGCTCAGGGCCACATCCTGCTAATCTCAATGGGGCTGGTTCGTTAATGCCCTGCACGTTGTGTCATCATTTTACACTTGTGCAAAGCAAGGGTAAAACACCTCCGCTCTGATTCGGCAGGATTTGTGTGCCGGTGTAAGTGACAATGCAAAGTGCAGGTGAACTGGGAGAATCAGATCCAAGTGATCTGCAGCATTGGGCCCCTAGGGACTGATTCTGATTTCACATTGGATCAGCAACTCCACTGAGGTCAATCACTGGGCTAGATTCTTCTCTCAACCCAACCTAACTCCGCTGGCTTCAGGGCAGCTGCTTCCCATTCACACCAGCGTAAGAGAATGGAGAATCTGCCCCTTACCTTTCCACCATTTACTCAGCTCCTAAGGAAAGGGGGCCATTTAGGGAACTGGAGTAAAAAACTGTCTGGGGATTGCTCCTGCTTTGAGCAGGGGGTTGGACTAGATGACCTCCTGAGGTCCCTTCCAACCCTGAGATTCTATGATTCTATGAAACTGGTCACTTTCAACTCATGGCTAGCCCGGTTTGCGTCGTCATTCCCTGGGTCTCATGCAGTAGTCCAACACGACAGGGCCCTGGTGGCAAACCCAGCAGGGCTGGGAACTCTCCCACCTCCCGAAAAAACATTTAAAAAAAATTTCATTGAAATGTTTCTACCAATATTACATCCTGCCAAATCCTAAAGTCAGAGGCCTGATCTACCTGCATCCCTCCAGAGCCGCAACACTTGTTCCTGTATTAAGTGCAGCTGAGTTGTCGTTTGGTTTTGTTTTTTCCTTAAGAAAAAGGGAAGTTTACAAAAAAAGACAGGCGCTATGGCATTGGCTGTTGCTATGGCTAAGGTAAACACGAAAGCCTTCTGCCACGTAGCCTATTGTTGTCTTCTGATTTCTTCTGAATATGGATACACATGCTACTGGACATCGACTCGCAGGCAAGTTAAAAAACTGCACTACACACTGCGCTACAAAACTGTGCTTTGTGGGAGGTAAACAGGGTTCAGACCGGCGCAACCCCCTCCCCCAAACAGCAAAGTCTTGGCAGGCAGCTCTCTCTTTCTCTGGCTTGGAAGACAACTGCCTCCATCGGTGTCCTGAGGTGGTGGTTTGGGGCACAGGGTGGAGGAAGGAATCCAAGATCCATCTGATGACGCGGCTCCAGGGGAGAGAATGAGGCATTCCAGGGCGGTACAAAACATTTGCGATGAAGAGTGTGGAAAGGTTAAAACAGTTCCGAGATGTCCCAAAAAACCTTCTCGACTGAGCCAGGACTGGCCGCCACCTCCCCGATGCCTCCCCTGTGGTCCCACATCCACAGAGACTGAGAGTCCCTTTGGGAATGTCCATGCTGTGGCAGATCAGGTCTGGGAAAGGCATCGGGCCCCGATGGCCCCCTTATCTCTCAGACTTCACCTTGTACCTGAGGACCAGGTAGGCCAAGAGCCGCAGAACGAGGAAGAAGATGCCCAGGATGATGAAGTCCAGGTAGAGTTTGGCCTCTTCCACGTCCAGCTCCTGGAGGATCCTGATGGGATTCTGGAAGGGGCAGGGAGTCTCCCGGCACTCCAGGTCCTCACGCTCCATGGCGTAGATGGCGAGGATGACGCCCTCGAAGCCGTACCTGCGCCAGAGCACAAGCAACATTAGTGCCAGCTGCACCCCGGATTTGCACACACACTGGGTGGCTGCGGCTCACCTGGCACAGGACTGGGTGAGCCTCTGGAGTGCTCTGCAGCAGGGAGCCAGCCACGGGTGATACCGATTCTGCTGCACCTGCCAAGAGTGGCATCAGCATCACGGCACACCAGGGAGCTGGCCGGGAGAGGCCACCAAGGATCTGGACAGGAGTGAAGCTGGTAGCACTAGGGGGTATCAGGCTGGTCAGCTGCAGAACTGGCATTGCTGTGTGGCCAGGGACCAGACAGATACACCTAAAATCATCTCCCCTAAGGCTGGCTGTCTCCATCCTCAAAGAAGCTGCAGGCCTGTGCAACCCAGCTGCAGCCACAAGGGGGCACCATCCCTCCAGGGTCCTTGCCTCTCCTGCATCCTACCACTCCTCAGCCAGAGCATCCCGGGAGCAGGGTGCCATGGCTTGAGAGGGTGTCCCTGGTAGCTGGATGTCCCCTCCAGCCCTAGGGCCAGGCCTGAATCCCCTGCAAAGCCTTCCCAGAGGGACGTCTGCGGGGAGCATTAGCAGAGATGCAGGGCAGTCACCATCCATGCGCGAGTGTTGCCAGTGCCCTGTTCCCACTGCTGCTGCGAGCCCCCACCTGACGTAGGAGACATACGAGGTCCACTGCAGGTACGTGGGGATGGTCTTGAAGCTGACGAAGAAGCCGGAGAAGAGCAGGACGGGGATAGCAGTGACCGGTCCCACGAACGTGGCCACCTGCAAGGCAGAGGCAGGCCGGAGTCAGGCATGGCAATGGGGTTGGGGGATCACAGCACGTGGCCAGTGTCACGCGAACCCACACCCACCACACACGCTCTGGTGTGCACGCATGGTGCCACGCACATGCACGCTCACGCTCTGTGCCACGCCCTTGCACAGCGGACACTCCCTCGCACACCTGCAGTCCACACACTCTGGCACATCACTGGCTCGATTACTGACCCTGACAAAGCAGACGGGTGCAAACTCTGCCAGAGGCTGTCTCCCCCTCCCCCCCATACAGCCCAGGGTCCCCACCAAAACCAGCGCCCCCTCTGACCTGCAAGGAGGTGGAAGCTGCTCCGATCAGAAGCCCCAGAGACTGTGCCACCAGGGCGGTGGAGGTGGCGAGGGCGGAGAAGAGGAGGAAGCGGGTGGCCTCCGGGGGCTGGCCTGTCATCCAGTACACGATGCTGCAGTAGGCTATGGGGCAGATCACCTGCAGGGGGCGGAAGGGAGATGGTTCAGCAGGACCCACCTCCACCAAGGCTGCGTGCTGTGCCCTGCACCAACGGGGTCTCTGCACCCCTGCTCTGTGGCCCCAAGCATCACAGTGATCCAAGTTATACTGTGAGCTCCAAGGGCAGGGATCTGGGACCTCCGGAGCTCTATGAACCCCCCCCCCTCTGCACCTCTCCAAGGGGGTCAGGGCCCAGGCTGTGCAACGAGCGGCAGGAGCCCAGGAGAAGCCAGCCCTGGATCTCCCTGTAGGCAGAGCAGCCCAGGAGCCTAACCTAGGAGAGTCTATTTCATCCCCCTGCCCCCCCATGCTGCATCCTCACCTGGAAGGGCACGTCTGCCATGGTCTTGGCCAGGTAATAGGCCTTTAGGCTGTACCAGTAGTTCAGGTGCTCTCTCAGGAACACAGACATCTCCAGAGGGACTGCAGGGACAGAGGGACCCAGCAGATTAGCAGCAAGCGGTGCCCTGGTCCGGCCCCATTCTCGGGCCCGCCGGCTCCTCGCTCAAATAGAAGCCGAGGGGGGATTGATAGATGCTAACCCTTGAAGTGTTGCCAAGCAGCTCCCCAGGATTCCTGGGAGGTGGCTGAGCCCAGCTGGAGCTGTGTGGCTGTGGCTGGTTCTGATCCAGGATGGACCCGCTCCCTCTCCCTCGGGCGCCAGCGCCTCCAGGAGCGAGGGGCACCGGGGTCTACCCTCAAGAACTGAACTGGGCCCAGAACTACCTACACTCCATCCGCTGCCCATCGCTCCCAATCTCAGCCTCTCCCAGGCCTGGCTGGAGTCGCCCAGGGCTAAACCCAGCTGGACCCCATGGAGGAGCTCAGCTGCCCGAGCTAAGGGATCCCCTGTGGTCCAGGGGCCTGACACCCCGACCTGCACATCACAGGGCACTGGGCTGATCTCTTAACCTGCCCGGGGGTCTTCCACTGACACCCCAAAGGAGCCTCTGTGCCCCATCCGCTCCTGCCCACCCCACCCCGCTGGCTGGCTCGTGGCTGGCCCCGCCTGCCCTGCAGCCACCCCAGCTCTGCCCCAGGCCTGGGCAGAGGGAGTTACTGGCTCGGGTGTTTCAGTGCAGACTGGCCTGCCCCACCCTCACTCCCGGGAGCTGTCGGGACATATGTCAGTGTTCTAGGGGACATGGGGGCAGGTGAGTGCCGTACATGTGAGGACAGTGGGCATCAGGGCGGCGAACATGAGGAAAAGCATGGAGAAGAAGAGGAAGCCGGTGTTGTTGAAGACCTTGCCGGCGTCGTTGCCGATGTGCAGGTAGAGCAGCCCGATGAGCACCCCGATGCAGATGTGGGACATGAACCGCAGGTGGGTCAGGACCTGCAGGGGCGAGATGGGCTCGGCACTCAGAGAGGGGCAGGGCCATGGCCTACCACCAGCCCTGGGTGCGCCGGGCTGCTTGCTGAGCATTCACCCCCGACAGCAAGGGCAGCGATGGGCGCCCTCCACCTGCTGGCTCCAGCAGTAAGGGGGCTCCCATGATACAGCCTCTCCCTTCCCTTCTCCAGCCGCCAGACCTTAAATCTCTGCTCCCTCCACCCCATCCCCTCTGCATGTGCCTTAGTCCTGCCTCCAACCTTCCCACCCTCTGTCCCTGGTCCCCTCCCCCCGCCTCCCAACCCTGGACCCTGCTCCCCATAGAACCTGTCCCCTCTGCTCCAGCCTTGGTCTCTGCCCCGTCCCCTGCCCTGGCCCGTCCCCCAGCGCCCCTCCCTTACCGTGTCTCTCATGATGGACAGGAACGTTCTCTTGAAGAGGATGCAGAACTGGGTCATGGTGCTGGTGGCAAATGTGTGGCTCTCAATATGATCCACGTCCTGGAGGGGGGTGGGGGGACCATGACGAGGACACGGAGAGTCAGGGACCCAGGGGCTCCCAGCACTGACAGGCAGACCCCCCCCCCATGGGTATCTGCTGGGAGTGTGGGCACCAGCCCCACCCACAGGAGCCTTGTTACCCCCAGTACCTCAGGGACAATGGGCCCAGGCCAGGCCAGCACCTGCCACGCCCCTCGCCCCAGACACCGTCCCTCTCCCTGCAGCACCCTGGGCCAAGGCGGGGCTGCTGTACACACGCCGGGGAACGGCACTACGGGGGCCACAGGGCAGACACAGCACAGGGGCTGCATGGTGCTCTGGTGTGTGGGGAGATCCCCGGAGAACAAGGGGCACCACCTGGGAGGGAGGGTGGCTCTAGTGCCATAGGCCTATGCTCTATTAGTGCCCAGATAACACAGCGACGGGCACCCCAAACTCCACCGGTGGAGAGACGGACATTACTCCCTCGGGGTAGGGCAACAAGGCAGGGGCTGCTCCCAATTCTCATCCGCTCTGTACCCACCCCCTCGGGAGCCGACCAGGGTCTGGGACAGTGTGAGGAGGGCAGGGATGCTGCTGTCCCAGGGATATTCCCTAGATACACCAGGACCGTTCCCCATAGCTGACCCACAGCCCAGCCCCACCTGGAGGGACAGAGCTCACACCACAGGGGTCTGGGCATCGGGGGCAAAGATGCCCCGTGGCCTGCCTGCCTCAGCGCTGCTGCACTGACCGTCACGCAGGGGACTGGGCAGGAGGAGTCCGTCTTCTCCGGGCTGCTCTTCTTCTCGGCCATGGTGCACAGCCCGTTCTGGACGGCACGGAACAGCAATGGATTGAGGTCTCCATACTCGCCTGAGGCCACTTCGATAACTGGGGGGGACCCAAACAGCAAGCGCTGAGACCCCCTCGGATCAAGCCACCCTGCCCTGCCCTTCGCAGCCACGGCTGACAATCAGGGGCGGCTGGGCACCCCTGTCCCGGCCCCGGCACATTGGGGGTGGGGGGTGTACTAACCTCCATCTCAGGGCTGAGTGGGAGTTAAGCTTGTCTGCTCCTGGAAATGTCCCCCAGATGGGATGGGGAGCTATGGCAGAGGCAGCATGATCAGGAAAAGGCAGGTGACCGCAGGGGAGTCGCCACCTCCCCATGGCCAGGTGCTAAGGCTGGAGTAGCCAGGCAGAGCCCCTTGACCCACGCCAGGTGGGGTGGGGGACAGTACTCTAGGCATAACCCCCCCTAGACCTTGGGCAGGTGTGGGGAGGGAGACCCCACTCCCGAGTGCCTGGAGCCACTCTGCATGGAGAATGGTCAGTGCGTTGCCCTCCCAGACCCCCTTCCCTCAAAGGCTCTTGTAGGACCTTGTAATGTTCATTCGCCCTGCGAGGGGTCTAGAGGGGACTCATCCCTGAGGAAATGCAGCCACCTCTTGGGTGGAAGGCGGCAACTGTTAAGCACAAGTGCTTAGGGCAGGAAGTGAAGAAGTATCTCACATCCGGTGAGAGCCCCGGGGGAGGACGGAACCACACCAGCTGGGCTGTGTCCAGGGGAGCAGCACGAACTTTCCAACTCCCAGAAAAACTCACCAGGAGTGACGTGCTGAATCACCAACCCCTCTGCCCTCCCGCTCCTGGGAGCTCTCCCATACTGGCCCGGCTCAGGTAGCGAGAGGCAGGGCCGGCTGCAAGCCAAGGGAAAGGCATGGGAAGCCTGCCTTTGCACAGGCACTTACTGAAGTCAGCCGGGTTGTGGTAGGTGGGGCAATGCAGGCCCAGCCCTTTCAGATAGGGGATGAGGTTGGGCACCACCCCTTTGAAGATGCACTGGCCCTGGCTCAGGATGTACAGCTGGAAGAGAGAACAAAGCTGCCTGAGCAGGAAATGGCAGCAAGTCCCCCACTAAACACCACAGGTCAGACCCCGAGACCTCCCACTCCTAGGGCTCGTGCAAGCCAGGGAGCGCCCTGCCCCGCAGGGAACGGGGAGCCGGCGGGGTCTCACCAGCCGAGAGATGCTGCCCCAGGGTACTGGGATTCTGCCCCACCGCTGGAGAGACCCCTTTGCCCCCTGGAGGCAGAGCTCTGATTAGCAGGTGATGCTCCCCAAAGCACAGGGACAGGCAGGGGACTCACCCACCTTGTCGAACATTTCGAAGAGCTTGGCACTGGGCTGGTGAATGGTGCAGATGATAGTGCGGCCTCCCTGGGCCAGGGACCTCATCAGAGAGACGACTTGGAAGCAGGAGGCGCTGTCCAGCCCACTGCAGACAGGAAAAGGGGGGGGGGGGGGGGGAAGAGGGTTGTGGGGGGGGGAGAGGGGGAGTGAGAAAAGGGAGGGATGGCGGTGTGAGGGGGATGGATAGAAGAGGTGGAAAAGAGAGAGGGAGCGGGGGAAAGGATGAATGCAGAGAGGAAGAGGCGTGGAGCCAGAAAGAGGTGGGATAGGAACGGGGATGGGGAGAGAATGAACATCCCAGATACAGGAACACCTCGGGCAGCCCCTGAGCCAACTCTGGGGGGGGGCCCAGCTGTGACCCTGAGCCGTTAGCAGGGGTTACAGGGCAGGGCTCCCCACTCCCCCAGCTTGGCTACACAGTGTCCCTCACAGCTCCCCCCTCCAGCTGGTGCGGGGAGAGCCCCCCCATCCTGGTCAATCCACGTTCATCCCTGGCTGTGACCCCCCCCCCCAAATTCTCAGCTGCAGCAAAGAGACGTGACCCCGCTGCTCATGCTTGGCTCCCCCCTTGCAGCTCCAGGGGCCGGCGACAGCTGCAGGCTCCCGGGGAGGGGGAGCCCCATGCTGGCCTGGAGCGGTGCGGGAGGGAGGCCCCGTGCTCACCTGGTTGGCTCGTCGAAGAACATGACGGGGGGGTTGTTGACCAGCTCCAGGGCGATGGCGAGGCGCTTGCGCTGCCCCCCGGACAGCGATAGGGTGCGGGTATAGGAGCACTCCAGCAGCCCCAGCGCCGTCAGGATCTCCTGCACCTGGGCCCAGCACAGAGCAGAGAGAGTCACTGCCAGCCTCCCTGCCCCACATGGGCGCCTCCCTGCCCCGCCACAGTCCTGCCGTGAGGGATGTGCGGCCTCCCTGGGGCCAGGGTTTGAAAGGCGCTCGTGGCCCCCAACACTCTTCCTACCTCCTGCTGCTCCCCCTGCCCCCCCCCGCCCCATGCTCAGCCCAAGTTCCCATCTCCCCCAGCCCCTACCGTGCCCAGCCCGAGTCCCCAGTTCCCCCTGCCTCCCCGTGCCCCCACCTCCCCCTACCCATGCTGTGTCCAGCCCGTGTCCCGACCTCCCCCTGCCCTCCCTGGGGCCCCGCCTCTGTGCTGGTGTATTGAGCCATTAAGAAGGCTGAAGCAATGGAGGGGAGGGTGTGCCCTGGGAGCCCCTTTACCCTGTGGGCAGAGGGACAGTGCTGCCCAGAGAGTGCCGCCCTCCCTTGAAACCCTTCAGCTACTGAGCAGGGACCCCCAACTCACCAGCTCCTTCTTCACCTCCTGCTTCTCATTCAGCTTCAGGTGAGCAGAGACCTGCGGGGCAGGGAGCAGACACAGGGGCCAGTCAGAGCCTGAGGCCAGCCACACTGGGGCCTGCCCAACTCCCAGACAGAACGACCAGGGGTCTCCTGGCCTCCGCACAGGACGCCATGGTAGACCAGGCACTCTGCCCTCAGCTCTGCTCAGCAGAAACCAGGGGATGGAATAGCAGGGGGCTGTGGGTCGGGATTGAGGGGTATTGGCA